TAAGTAATACTAATACATATCTCAAATATGTATTTTGTGCCACTTGATTTATTCACTTAAATTATGAGTTGCTTGGTGCCACCAGTGTTAAGATGGACATCCCTAGTGCACATCGCATTTTCACGTAGAACTAGTTATCTGTGTCCTGGTTTGCCTTTTTGTTAAACTCTGTCAGCTCTGGAAATAAGTATTCATATTTGAGAATTGTTCAAAGCTTTTTTTTGTTGTGTACAGAGCATACAGAAACGTTTTAGGAGCAGCACAATGATTGCCTGATATTATGAAGCTTCTTTTCCATAGTGTAAACATCTGTCTTAATAGCGTAATATTCATCATAGAAGTGATTGGGGCTGGGGCGAGAGAGAAAAAAGATTGCATGTGTTAGTATTGTAACCGAGTGCGACTTTTGTGTCGTAGTCCAGCCTGATCCTGAGAGTGTGGTTCTGAGCACTGACGGGGGACGCTATGATGTATACCTGTATGACAGAATGAGGAAAGCTGTTTACTGGGAAGAAGAGCCTTCTGAAGTGAGACGATGCATGTGGTTTTATAAGGGAGACAAGGATAGCCGGTTTGTTCCTTACACTGAGGATTTTAGTGATAAGCTAGAGGTTAGTATGACCTTTACATAAACTTCACGAAGAACTTGACAGTTCTTTGTATTTATGACCTTAGAAGTACTTCTTTGTGTTTCATTAAAATGATTTCCAGAATGCGCTTTCTGGAACATAAGTAAGCAAATCCTGGAAAGGGGAGTGGCTAGAAGGCCACCTTGCTCATGTTTAGGTCCTGCACAGCTATGACCTAAAATCGACTTGTGTAGTGCTTCACCTGACACTTTTGTATAAATAAAGTTGTGTGAATTATAACCTTAACATTACAGATGATGCACAAGGCCAAAAAATACTTTGTCTAAGAAGGCATACTGATTTTGTGTAACTTGTTTACTGTTTCAGGCAGAATATAAAAAGGCTGTAACTACAAATCAATGGCATCGGCGACTTGAATTCCCAAATGGGGAGACAATTGTTATGCATAATCCCAAGGTAATGCAATAGATTTTGGCGATTGGTTCTCACAGAATTCACTAGGGGTGAATGAGGAGGTGGATGGAAGCAGAAATTGAATGCAGTCTTAGTCTTGTTTGAAATGTACTTGTTGATTGTTTTGAATATGTGTGCATTAAAGATGATAAAGTTTTAGAACACTGAACTCCTGCTCACTTCAATGTGCTGTCACATGATTAAAAGACAATGCTTTCTGAAACCTAAGAAAAGTAAGGGTTTATATAGTAAATATTTTGACTAAGCATAACTGGCAGCCAGCGGGAGGCAATTTGAATTAGTTTAACCTCAAACAGTCTGGACCAAATAGAAGGTAATTGAAACTAAGAGCTTTCACGTGGAGCAGAGTGTTAATCTAACTGTAAGGTAATTAGTTTGTGTATCTAAGCCATGAGAACTATTTTTAGCCATGCAACTATTTTTAGGCCATGAGAAAGTCTAGCAAAAAAAGCTTTAAAAGTTATTCTAAATACAAGAGACTGTTAGCAGAGTGATTAAAACATGGACTTCAGCCTTATTGACCAATGCTGTTAACTGTTCGCTTATCACAGATGCGGTAATTAATAAATAAATAAAATAGTCCAAGAGCCAGAAAGGGTCATGGTTGCTCTTACTTTAAGCACTTATGGTGCTGGTTAAGGAGTTCTGTCCAGTAAAAACCTAGAGAAGGAGCGCTTAAACCACTTGGTGTCATAAATATGAGTTCAGACTATTGCGAGTCAGTGTAAGTCAAGTTCAGCCATATGACTGAATTTCTCACTTGGTAGGATTTCTGGGCTACTTTGAATGTTGCTGTCCTTCCCTGAAAAGCACTGCTCTTCCCCCCTGCCCCCCTTCCCATCATGATAGAGTAATTGTAAAAATGTCAATGGGGTAGTGTCCAGTTTCCTTACAAAAACACTAATCAGCTAAGGAAGAGCAGGTACTGGCGTCTAGGAAAGAGGAGCTTGAATAATGCTTGTTTCAGGTGTTAAAATTGTTAAGAATCACTGAGCAGGCCAGCTTCTTCAACTAGTGGTTACTTTTGTTTAAGTCATCTGGTTGCTTTTCAAGCTAATGAGAATTAACTCTTATTTCGGAATCTAGTTTTAGTGAAGCTGGCGCTCCCATAAGGAATAGCCCTAGGGTTTTCTAAGGCTTTTTTCTGCATATGTGCTAATTAAAGAAAACAGTTGTCTCGGATGCAAGGTAAAGCAATCAAACAAAAAGTGCGTTAAACCATGCAATGCTTTCAGACTAACAATATGAGTCATAAGGTTTTTTGTGTTTGTAATTGGACAATATATTTTTTTCAGGTCATAGTTCAGTTCCAACCTGCTGCCACACCAGATGAATGGGGAACCACTCAAGATGGTCAGGCAAGACCAAGGGTAGTAAAACGTGGAATTGATGATGACCATGATGAAATTCCTGATGGTATGTGATTACTGTACGTCAGTCTGCAGCTTGAACAGTCAGTTAATTTCTGTACAAAAGTTGGACCCTAGTGGGTAGAGTGGCAATGCACTGTCTGTGCCTAGAGTCTAAAGATTAAAGTTGTTCCTTAGTATTACCTGGTTTTGGTTTTTGTAATCAAAGGAGTCCGGTGGGCTGTGTTATATCCTGAACCATGTTATGTAATAGGCTTTATAAAGCAAGTATATCTTAACATTGCTTCACTCTAAACTTCACCACTGCAGTACGTATTGGTACTCTGAATTTTGTATTTTCTTTTTCTACAGGAGAAATGTCCCAAATTGACCATCTAGTATTTATGGTTCATGGCATAGGTCCTGTATGCGACTTGAGGTTTAGAAGCATTGTTGAATGTGGTAAGTTTTTGGTTGTTTAATGAGCAGTCATATTCTTAACTGTTTAAATGTAGGTCTCTATATCTTATATTCAGATAAGCATGTCTTTTAAAAAGAAAAAAAAAAAGTCTCTGATGTTAAGAAGTTCAATTTCTGGTAGGATTTTTTTCCTGATTATTTTCCAAAAGCAGAATCTGTGTTTTGTCAGACTTACAGCTTTAACTGTTATTATTAGTCCTCAATATTAAACTTGCAGAGTGGTTTGGGTTTTGGGGTGTGGGGGGTGTGGTTTTTTGTGTGGGTGTATGTGTTTGCTTTGTGTGGCTTGTGTCTGTGGTGGTGTTTGTGTGGGGTGGTTTTCTGTTTGCTCTTTTGTTTTTTTTTAAATACAATCCAGCACAACTGAGTAAATGAAGAAGGCCATGTCTGGTCATGGAGTAAAAATGCATTCATTGTGAGATAAATAGCAGCTTGCTAGAAAATTCACTGTTTTAAAAAAATACATATTTTCTTACAGTTAGAGGAGTAATCCTTGCAAAGATTTTCCCACTTTGCAGTTTCTTTAATTTATATTTTTACATTTTTATACATAAAAACATTTATATTTTTATATATATAAACAGTCTAAAACTGGGGAGTGGAGAAAGAATATTTGTAATTGTGTGTTACTTGAGTACTGCTACTATCACATTTTCATTACTCTTCTCTGCAGTTGATGATTTTAGGACTGTTTCTCTGAAGTTGTTGCAGACTCACTTTAAGAAATCTTTAGAGGAACGTAAGGTGAGCAGGGTGGAATTCCTCCCAGTTCACTGGCATAGTTCTCTGCATGGAGATGCAACAGGTGTAGACAGGTGAGTATATTGTGTAATGTGAACTTCACATGAGCTGCATCTTAACAGTTTTTGTAAAGTGTATTAAAAGAGAAGTTAATATGCTCTTTAGACTAGATGAATAAATGTTTGGCTGGGTTACAAAGAAGAATTGGTAATTTTTTTTAATTAACATTTTGATGAGGAGTATAGGGAAAGCTGGAAAGGCATGTGGAGTATTTTCTCTTGTTTATTTTCATGTCACTGAGTGACAGGATACATATACACACACACTTTGTCAATGCTGCCTTTTCATGAAAGTGGCTAATGCATTGATACATGGTGAATGAGCGTGTAGAGAGAGTGATCCTAAGTATGAGGTGGTGAGCATGGACATGTATTGTCCAGGTATGTACAATTTAGGGTGGAGAGTTTTCTCCCCTGTACCTTTCTGCAGTCTCATTGAGTCCGACCTTAAGAGATGTCAATGGCCTCTTTCTAAGGAAGGCAATTAGCCCTCTGTCCAGTCCTAGAGTAGTAACTGCATTATGATTAGGCAGTTGAGCTAAGATTTTTTTTTTTTTTTTTTTTTTAATTCTGGAAACAAAGTGTCTATATTTGGATAGGAGTGTTACAGCATTTTAAAATCTATTTTGAAATCACTTCTTGGTGCCTATCTCTTTGCTGTTGCTTGACATTTCAAGCTGTTTTCTCTTGCTCAAAGATGGGGAAGTAGAAATTGCAAAGACAGCAAGCTGTACCTCTTAGAGCACACGCTGGTGTTCTCCAGACTGTTCTAGCTTACTCAAGTCATGCTGCTTTCCTAGACTCTTAGTCTTTTATTCTCATTTGAACACTGAATGAGGAATGAAGATCCTCATTCTGTTAATCAAATCAGGCAATGCTAAGGCAGTCTCAGTTCTCTGGCAATTCCATTGCAGCTGTCTTAAGTCCAGGCAGCAGATGCTGATGCCAAGCTTTTTCTCCAAAAAGAGAGTATTATGTCGCCTGTTACTTCAATTTCACCTTCAGTTTTTCTATGCAGGTTCTTTTGCTCTTCCGCTTCTTCCAATCTGCTCACAGAACTTCCCTGTTACTGTATGAGAGCAGTGTTGGAACAGAGAAGAGATTGCTTCAGGCATCCCTTCAGCCTGGAGAGAGGAAAGGGAGCTGTATCTTTCTCAAATATGTACAATCAGCAGATAGCACTAATGTATGAATATACAATGAGGACAGAAGGCTATATGGGTTTTTTTTAATGTCTGTAGAGACCATATCTGTAGTATTGACACTGCAGTTCTACTACTTGTCATTTCAAAAGTTAACAAAGTTCTTATCTGCATTTCTTTAAAGACATTCATGCTTCTAATGATTTTGTGTTACTAGGAACATAAAAAAAATCACTTTGCCGAGCATTGGACGCTTGCGCCACTTCACCAATGAAACGCTTCTTGACATACTGTTTTACAACAGCCCCACCTACTGTCAGACGATTGTGGATAAAGTGGGGATGGAAATGAATCGTTTGTATGCGCTTTTCATGAGTCGCAACCCAGATTTCAAAGGAGGAGTCTCTGTGGCTGGGCATAGTTTAGGTAATTATCTAAGGAATTGATTTGGGATAAAACCAGCATTCCTACACTAAGGGAAATGGAACCTTCATTAAGCACAAGGCTAAAATTAGCTGATAGGGCGTGGCTGTCTTTCAGAATACTGCTGACTAAAAGTCAAACACCTCTCAACAGCTAAGTTTATAAAGCTTTGAGAGAAGGTTAGTCCTTCATGGATGCATGCATTTCCCCCTTCCCCGCCCCCCTTTAGTTTCCTTCATGAAGACTTAATGTCTTAACTTGTGTTTAAAAGTTGACATTATCTGGTGTCTTGTTAGGTGGGTGACTTCTGTGTCTCAGAACCCCCACTTAGTAAAAGTAAGATGATTTTTTGGAACATAGAATAAGTGTTATAAAGACATATGGCATACTGGTTTGGGCTGGTACTTTGCCTCCAGTTTGGCAAGCAGTCTAAGATGGTTAAGGAAAGATAGGTTAATCATGGCAACTACATAAAGCTATTTCACATGAATGGGTGGGGGGGGAAAGTTTGCTTTTTGCTGAGAATGATCATGTGCAAGTTAATATGTGGGTATTTTAGTTTTACTTCAGCCATCTTTTTTGATCAATCTATATGTTGCTATTACTATTGCATATAAATCTTGCTTAGGATTTAGGGACAGGAAAATCTGACATTTTTACCAAGGCAATAATAATTCCCGTTTCCAGGTTCCTTAATTCTATTTGACATGTTGTCTAACCAGAAGGACTTGGCTTCATCAGTAAGTACTGCACCATTCTCTGGTGTTAATGGGACTGTAAAGGACGCGGCTGTTCATGATAAACAGGTAATTTGCATGCTAATCTTTCCAGGCAAATAGGTGTGATATTTTCAGCAACTTTTTCTTAAGTTTTCAGAATTTATTATCTGAAACACAGTTGTGGGTTCTGATAGTACATTTTAACATGTTAATGGAAATGTGCAGTTTTGTAAATATTGTCAGTTCTCAGGACAAGCTATTTGCACATCTCTCAAATTCCAAGTAGGCCAGTAATGGGATTTGATCGTGAACATCAGCTTTGACCCTTGTGGGCACGTAACTTGGCCTAAACAGTATCTGAATGGTGGGGGAGATGCATAAGAGGGAAAGAATCTATCTGTGTTCAGGCTAGAAACAGTGATGAGTTGTTTGATGCTTAGAAGGAAATATTTTTGAGTGTCGGAAAGCTCAAGAAACCTTTTGCCTTTCTTAGTAACTTTTAAATATATATTTTGCTGATTTGTTATTAGTGGAACATCTGTATCCTGCTTTACTAAAAATGGGTATAAATTTACAAAGCTTACATAATAATGTTTTTAAGAGAAAGTAATTAACCTTGTATTTACTTGCTGTATATTGGCTTTTCACTGTTAGATGATGTGATTCTGTTTCTGTGCTGCTTTTTTAAGATGACTGAAGATACCAGTTCCTTGGGCTCCTCAATTACTACCTCTGGTGATGACCTTTGTGAGCCTGAAGTAGATGATGATGTTCCTACTTTGCAGAAGACTCTGGAAATGCTTAGTTTGTCGGAGTATGCAAATACATTCGAAAAGGAGCGAATTGACATGGAGTCTCTGGTACAATAATGTTCACTTGACTTATGGGAATTGCCAGGGTTTGGAGGTTTATGTTTGGGTTTTTTGTGTTTTGGGTTTTTTGGATTGGTTGTTCTTTTCTTCTTTTTTTTTTTTTTTTTGTTATGTTTCGTTTAGTGTACCATGAGTCATGAAAGCATTGCAAAGGGGTAAGATAATTAATGTCTGACATGAAGACTAAGTCTTATGTGACTTTTTTTTCCCCCCTTGTGTTTTTTTTCCCCCAGTTATTTTAGGGCATTTTGTATAATGTCTGTTTAATTTTTTTTGTAATTTCTGTAGCTTTATAAAATGTCTTATCTAATTCATTAGTCATTGTGATTAAGAAATTATACATGTTCCTGGAAAAGTTATAATGTATGCTTTGATGTGTGTGGGGTTGTTTTTAGCTGATGTGTACAGTCGATGACCTGAAGGAAATGGGGATACCTCTTGGACCAAGAAAGAAAATAGCTAATTTTGTAAAAGACAGAGCAGCCAAGCAGGTAAGTACATTTTTAAGGAATGAAATAAGAAGTTGTTAAGCAAATGTAACTGACTTCCTTCCTGTGGAGTAACTTCTATTCTTTAACACACTTGTTAACATCATGGATATATTTAAGGAATTTTGTCGACTGTGAAATAAACTTTTTTCCTGGTTTTGAAACTTGTCTCCAAAGGAGCAAAAGAAAGCAGTAGCAGAAAAGAAAGCAGTGCTGGCTGCCACACTCCAAACTCAAGAAGATGCCCAGAAAGCAAAAGAGACAGTTACTTCTGTCTCCTCTTCGGAGTCTGGTCAGCTGCACACAAAGAGGAAGCTTCCAGTTGGTGCATCCGTTTCTTCTGTGAACATTGACTATGAGTATTTTGAAGTTGGAACTGGCCAGGTGAGACTGCATAGATTTAAATGATTCATTTGGAACAATGCTGTCTGTTTGTTTGTTTGTTAACGTTGATGACTTTGTGCTACTTCACTTGATTGTTGTACAAAAGTTATGTTTACATAGAACTTACCCTTGGCAGGAGGGAGAGCTGGGAAAGTGGGTTGGACTATTGAAAAGCAAAACTTATTATAACAAGGATGCCCCTACGATTAATTTTTTCTTTCAGCAGTGAGTGAGCTGTAAACACAGTTCTGTTCCAGAAGTAGAACTGTGTGAATGGCCTAATTTTGAATGGTTCTGTGGCTTTGCATTTAACATGGTAGCCTAAATTGATCCATTTATGCTGTTATATTTAAGTTTTACCTCAAACTTAACTTAAAAACCAAACCTTAAAGACTTCCTGTTCTAAGTTTTTCTTTTTTTTTTTTTTTTGTACTTCTGAATTTTTTTTTAAGAAAAACATTTTAATATTACAGTATTAAAATATATTAGTACTATGGTATTAGTATGGAATAGGGCAATGCAGCTGAAGCTTCTTGGAAGTACTAAGAGCATGTGGTTGATTTAATACACAACTTGTTTTTCACTCCTAGGTAAGCATTATACTAACTAGCTGGCAGTTCTGACACATTCTATATCTGATTTCTGTCTGGTAGGTTTCTGTGGTTTACAATGCATTGGACTTTGAACCGGATATTTTCTTTGCTCTCGGTTCTCCTATTGGTGTGTTCCTTACTGTGAGAGGTGTGGAGAAGATTGATGAGAACTACAGGCTTCCTACCTGCAAGGGATTCTTCAATATCTATCATCCAGTGAGTAAGCAGTACTTTTGAGATTTGATTTTAGTCGATGCAGATGACAACAATGCAGAACACTAAGTTTTAACCTCTGAGCATTACACCTTCTGTTCCCCTACATATATTTCCCAATACACCCTTTTTAAAAAATGACCCAACTGAAATATATATTCCAAATATTTGTGGTCTTTTACTGCAAAAGTGAAGTAGAGCTGCTATAGGTTCCATACCTAGCATTCTAGGTATGGGTTGACTTGATAATATATGCCCTGTTCATTTTCAGAGCTTAAAAAAATCTTTTTTTTTTTCCCATTAATTTCAAGGCACTCTTGTAGGTTTTTATAAAGTATTTGAGCCATTTACAGGACTTTTCTGAATTTCCAGTTTAGATTCTGGGAATTTAGAAATCCTTAAAGGTTTTGCAGTGCATGCAGTACATTTGTCCTCTTTTGTCCCATCTTGTTTAACAATTAAAGTGACATGTTGGTAGAGTGCAAGAAAATTTTGCTGCTCTTTCACTGTTGTGTTGCCTCTCAGAATTTCTCTCTGTCTGTAGGAGAACAAGACCTAATTAGTTAATGAGCCTGCTAAATCATACGATTAAACTAAATGGTCATGAACTGAGTTTCTGTAAGCTGAAATAGAACAGATTTCAAGAATGGTTCTCTAGTAATCATAAATAGGGATTTTTTTTTTTCACTGAAATGTGATAATGGTTCTCTAGTAATCATAAATAGGGATTTTTTTTTTTCACTGAAATGTGATAATGGTTCTCTAGTAATCATAAATAGGGATTTTTTTTTTTCACTGAAATGTGATAATGGTTCTCTAGTAATCATAAATAGGGATTTTTTTTTTTTCACTGAAATGTGATAATTAGAATAATTTCTGAGATAACTAAATGTCAATGTATTGTTTCTTAACAGCTTGATCCAGTAGCTTACAGGTTAGAACCAATGATCGTTGAAGACATGGATTTAAAACCAGTTCTTATTCCACATCATAAAGGCAGGAAAAGACTTCACCTGGGTAAAAAGAAAACTTATTTCATATATGGATCTCACTCCTAATTTACTCATTTGATGCATTAGAATATTGTAAAATTTCAAGAGACTAATCAATGTTGCTGGATATCTAACTCCATGTTTTTCCTAAATATCAGAGAGGATCCCTGCCAGCCCTGTAAGTTGGGCATTCACAACTGCATTCAGATGTAATAATTCTAATTCCTCCAGATTTGAGCTTCTGATTAACATTTTAAAATTGCTGTGCGTTGCTTGTTGACCTTAATTTCTAACATGATGTGAAACAGAAACTAAATTTACTCGTTTATTTTACCTTGTTCCTAATGACGTGTTTATCCAGTGTCTGTTGACTATTGGAAACATTGAGAAAAAAGGTGGTTCCATAGCCATTGGTGGGCAGAGACTGGATTTTGTTGCTCACGGGTACACATCAGATCAAAGTGCCATACTTAAATTTTGCACACCTAATAAGGAAAGTCAGTTTTGCTGTACAGTTGACGATATTACTATTGTACACGTTCACAGAGTCCTCCTGAAAGCCTGTCTTCAGGCACTTGGATGGAGAAATTCTGCAGCAGCTATACTTTAGAATGGTACATTAGAATGAGTCTGCTTTCCTAGACTGGACAAGGTGCTTGTTAAGGCATGTTTTAGGTTACAACTCTCAAAAAGTGTGTATAATAAAGGAGAAAAATATAGTCTGTTGCTCTTCACTGGTTTTTCATTGATGTAGGTGAATGTTCCATGGAATAGTCGTGAGCCCTGATCTAACGGACCCATGTGGTTCTAACCAGTTGTTGCGAAGAGCTCTCCTTCATTCAGAAGGAGGTTTCCCACCAGTATTGAATAGCAGCTCGGTTACTGGTGACACAGTTACTGAGCTGTAGCAGAATTACAGGCTAGAGTTGTCTGGGAGTGCTTCTCCAAATTCACTACCACTGCAAGAGACATTGGCAGCCTTTCTGGTCTCTTCTGCTATACTGCAGTTTGAAACTAGTCTCTCTATAATTTTCCTGTAATGTAGGATGTTAGGAGTGATTGTGGGTGGTGTTGGTGTTGAGGGATTGGCTGATGTAGCTATTTTTGTGGACCCTTCTGCACTTGGAGGCTGTTGGACTGTTTCCTGTGCTAGGAGGTGTTAAGTCATCGACCCTTTCAGTGAGAAATCAATTGTGTGTTAATTACGTTTCACCTCATCTTTTTAAATGGAATAGAGAAGCAAGAAACACACGTTCATGACGTGGGAGGCCTGTTTCTCCTAATAATTGGAATGTTTGTTGGACAGGCTTTAATCACTATGGTTTTAGTTTATAATTTTAAATCCTTCTACTATGGTGATTTTTTTTCTTTTTTTTTTTTTTCCCCTTTTTCTTAGAGTTGAAAGACTCTCTCTCTCGTATGGGATCTGATTTGAAACAGGGTTTTATTAGCTCTTTGAAGAGTGCATGGCAGACCCTTAATGAATTTGCACGTGCTCATACATCTTCAACTCAGCTACAAGCAGAACTGGAGAAAGTAGCTAACCAAATTAAAGAGGAAGAAGAAAAGCAAGTGGTAGAAGGTATGTGGACACATTATTGATTTTCTTATAAGTTACCAATCTCAAATTAG